CAACTCTTGATCTTAGAGCTGTGAGTTCGAGCCCCACATTGCACGTAGAGATTCTTAATTAAAATCTTAATTAAAAAAAAATAAATAAAAAATAAACAAAAAAAAGAACCTTAAGCTCTTTTTTTTTCATTCACTTCATTTTCTTTGTAACTGTTTTCTAAATATTTGTACCCTCCAACAACTTCTCAATAAGATCTTCAGTCAAACCTATCTAATTAGTGTTCCGTTGTTGTTGTTTGGTAGACTCCCTTCGAGTGCCTTCCTCCTCCTGCCCCAAATCTGGACTGCTTAATCCCCAGGCCCGCTGCACAGCTCTCGTCAGGGGAGTTCCCTGGTAACAGTGGGGACTCTCATCATCTCTCTCCTGAACCAGCTGTTCTACCTGCCTAGATCTCAGGGCTTCCTTTTTCTGGTTTTTCCTACCATCTCTCTCCTCCCTCATTTTTTGACATTAAAGCAATTCCTCTAGAAGTATTCTGTGAAACAGTGCATGGAGTATTTTAAAAAAGAGAAACTAAAATTTGCAAGTCTAAAACTATTTTACATACTTGACAATATGTGTGGGTACAGAATTCAAGGTTGGAAATCATTTTCAGTTCAGAACTGTGAGGGTTTGTTACTCTGACTTGTTGATTCTAATGCTGCTATTCTGCAGTCTGATGCCTTTCTGATTACCAATCCTTAACAGATTATGATTTGTTGTTCTGGAAGCTTCTAGAATCTTCTCTTTATCCCTAATACTCTACAATTTTATGGTGATATGTTTTTTTTTTTTTCCCTCTCTTTTTAGAAAAAATTCATCGTAATGGGCACTCAATAGATCTTTTCAAACTATAGAATCATGTCCTTTGGTTCTGGGAAATTTTCTTGCCTAAGGCTTAGCACTAATTGTTCCTCATACAGAATTTCAAGCATCAGCTCCTCTTGTCAGACCCATGCTTCATCTCTGACTTCCGAGATCCTCATGCCTCTGATTTCTAAGCCCTTTCCAAGTTGTGCCAAGCAAACTGCTTCTGCAATGATCCCCTCTGCAGGCTCTTTGGTTCAACTTCCTCCGCCCTCCGCAGTCAGTTATTACTCCATCCACTTTCCATCTACATACACCACAGGGTTCAGGAGCACAGGTATAATCTCCAAGATAAAGAAATATGGAGTTTGTGTTTCTGTTTCCTGCTTTTCTAGTTGTTTGGGGGTAATATACAAAAGGAGGCATAAACATCTTTTCTGTTATCTTAAAACTGGAAGGCCCCTCTCTTCAATCACATGTAAATTCATACTGAGCTAGGGATGCCTGGGTAGCCCAGTCAGTTAGGCGTCTGATTTCAGCTCAGGTTGTGATCTCAGGGTCGTGAGATCGAGCCCTGTGTTGGGGCTCCGTGCTCAGCAGGTCAGCGGGGTCAGTGGGGAGTCTGCTTCTTTCCCTCTCCCTCTGCCCCACCCCCTGTGTGCATGCTCTTTCTCTCTCTAAAATAAATAATTTTTAAATTCATACTGAGCTAAAGCCAGAAATTCCCTTCAAGATCATCTCAGAGACTTAGTGGGGGAAGATAAGCCCTGCACCCCAGCCCCTTCATTTAAACACAGTTCTATTTCACATTTTAATTGTTCCTACTAGGCTGCATTAAAAAAAAAAAAGTTAAAAACCTACGGATCATGTGTCTATATGTGAACATTCATTGAGCTATTCATTTATGACTTGTACATCTTTCTACAGCATATATGTTTTTATTTTTTATTTTTTTAAAGAGTTTATTTATTTATTTGACAGAGAGAGACGGCGAGAGGGAACACAAGCAGGGGGAGTGGGAGAGGGAGAAGCAGGCTTCCCGCTGAGCAGGAGTCCGATGCGGGGCTCGATCCCAGGACCCCGGGATCATGACCTGAGCCAAAGGCAGACGCTTAATGACTGAGCCACCCAGGCACCTGCATATATATTTTTAATTTGAAGTAAACTCTACTCCACACATGGGGTTCAAACTCATGACCCCAAGATCAAGATGTGCATGCTTTACTGAGCCAGTTAGGCATCCCCTCTACAACATATCAACCCTTCAATTAAAATGTGTTAAAACCACTGGTTTAGTTTGAAAAAACAAACAACAACAACAAAAACAGGTAACAGCGCCAGAGAAAATAAGTAATTTTCTCAAAGTCATTCAGTCAATAAACAGGAAGTCAATGACCAGAACAAGTTCCCTAACTTTCAGCCTCTCATTAGCTGATCTAAACATATAAAACAGAACCCTTCCAGACTGGGGAGTGGCTGAAACTGGGCAGAAGTGTCACTCTCAGCCCCTAGTCATCTAGTCCAGACTGTGGAAAACTCAGACACCATAGAAACCTAACATCTCAGTGAACTTAACCAAGGATTATTAAGGGCTGACAGAAGCTCATCAGTCTTACTGAAATAGAAAACCAGTATTGGGGGCACCTGGGTGACTTAGTCAGTTAAGCATTCGACTCTTGATTTTGGCTCAGGTCATGATCTCAGGGTCTTGGGATCAAGCCCCAAGTAGGGCTCTGCACTCAGCTCAGAGTCTGCTTGAGTTTCTCCCTCTGCCCCTCCCCCCACTTGTCATGCTCTCTCTCTAAATTTTTTTTTAAAAACAAAAAACCAATTTTGTACTTAAATATTTCCTTGATTATGTACTATACAATACTGGAATATCCTTCCATCTCGTTGCAACTATGCAAACCCTACTATTCTTTCAGATTCAGTTCCAATTCCATTCCTATATGTGGTCTCTTTAACTGTTCCTCATAAAGTTCTCTCCCTCCCTTGAACTCTTACAGTAGTACATGTTTTCTTTTCCCTTCAATATATATTATATGCTGATGACATGCTATCATAGCATTAATTTCCCTGTTATGTGTATGACACGTTTCTTCCAGAATATAAGCTTTGTGATATGTCATACATAAAATGTATGACAAATATCTCCTTGGTCTCACCCATGCACTTAGCAATCTTGCACATTCTGGTATTTAATAAAACACGAAGTGATTATCAGATCATGAACTCCAGACAGATTTTTCTAATTCTACTGGCGTGAGTTCTTAGATGGATCAAATGCAGTTTCAAATAAGACAGCCATGAACTATTCGTAATTTTCCAAGTCATTTATATAACTCATTTATATGAAAAAAAATTGCCTACTAAGTGTAATTAAAATGCATGACATAAAAGTCTAATTATGTTTTGATCATCTAGAAGTCATTTCTCTATAAATCTTTTACAGCTTTAGTTGACTAAAGCACAAAAACACAGGAAAAAAACCCAACTCACTGCCTGCGGTACAACTGGGGCTGCAGCTCCTACGTGAATAGCATCATAAGGGGCTTCTTCGGCATATCCCATTCTTCCATCTCCCACTGAAAGAAAAAAAATTATACTTTAAAAATCTGCTCAGATAGAACTACCCAGTGTGAAGAATTATAGGAGGTTTAAAGCAGAGCAAAGAGAGACTTTTAATAAATGAGGCTGTGACAACTGGATATTCATATGGAAAAAATATACACACTTGAATCTATCTCTTACATACACAAGAATCAATGTCAGATCAAAGATCTAAATGTGAAAAGCTAAAATAATGCTTCTGAGAAATAACACAGGGATATATCTTCATGATTTTAGAGTAGTCTTTTTTTTTTTAAGATTTTTATTCATTTCTTGTCAGAAAGAGAGAAAGCACACAAACGGGGTAGCGGCAGGCAGAGGGAGAAGCAGACCCCCCGCTGAGCAGGGAGCCCGATGAGGAACTCGATCCCAGGACCTGGAGATCGTGACCTGAGCCGAAGGCAGACACTTAACCAACTGAGCCACCCAGGCATCCCGATTTTAAAGTAGTCTTAAAGAAGATACAGAAGAAGGGGAGCCTGGGTGGCATAGTCAGTTGAGCATCCGACTCAGTTTCAGGTCAGGTCATGATCTTAGGGTCATGATCTTGGGGTCATGAGGTGGGGCCCTGCATTGGGCTCTGCACTCAAGAGGAGTCTGCTTCAGATTCTGTCTCCCTCTCCTTCTGCCCCTCCCACTTGTGCTCTCTCTCTAGAAGAAATAAATAAATTAAAAAAAAAAAAAAAGGACACAGAAAACACTGGAAAAAGCTACTAAGTCTGACACATTAAAATTAAGTATTTCTGGGGCACCTGGGTGGCTCAGTTGGTTAAGCGACTGCCTTCGACTCTGGTCATGATCCCAGGGTCCTGGGATCGAGCCCTTGCTCGATTAGTGTATCAGGCTCCTTGCTCAGTAGGAGCCTGCTTCTCCCTCTCCCTCTGCCTGCTATTTCCCCTGCTTGTACTCGCTCTCTCTCAGTGTCAAATAAATAAATAAAATCTTTTAAAATAAATAAATAAATAGATAAAATTAAGTATTTCTATTGGGGTGCCTAGGTGGCTCAGCTGATTAAGCATCTGCCTTAAGCTCAAGTCATGATTCCAGAGTCCTGGGATGGAGCCCCGTATCGGGCTCCCTGCTCATTGGTGAGTCTGCTTCTCCCTCTGCCCCTCCCCCCGCTCGTGCTCTCTCTCTCTCAAGTAAAAAAATAAATAAAATCTTAAAAAAAATAAAATTAAGCATTTCTATTAATCAAGAAAGCACCAATATAAGTGAAAAAGCATGCCAAAGAGCAGGAGAAAAGATTTCTAATATGTATAAATAGACAAAAGGCTAATCTATAGAGGTCCTACATATCAAAGAAAAATATAAACAACTCACTATCTGAACAAGACATTTCACAAACGAAGACATCCAAATGGTCAAACATATGAAACAGTGTTCGACCTCATCAGTTAGGAGGAAAATACAAAATTAAAATTACAAAGACTTACTGCTATACACTAAGTGGGTAAAAAGAAAAATCTAACAATACCAAGTGTTGATAAGGCATAGAGCACTAAGAACACTGATACATTGCTGATGGGAATGTAAATTGGTTCAATCACTTTTATTTTATTTATTTATTTATTTATTTATTTTTTTGGTTCAATCACTTTTAAAAAGTTTTGGATATCTATGGTTATCCTATGAACCTGTAATAATACTCTACATAAATGAATGCTTGTATGATGAGTGTATATATGCATTTGGACCTTTGTACACATATGTTCACAGCAGCATTGTGAACATCCCCAAATCAGAAACAACCCAAAATATCCATCTACAGTAGAATAAACAAATTTTGGTAATGTCCTTACAGTACAATGTTATACAGCAAGCAATAAAAATTAACTATATATAAAAGATGGGTGACTCTTACAAACATAATATTGAATGAAAGAAATAAATCATCACAGAATATATACTGTATGTTCTCTTTATCTAAAGTTCAAAATTAAATTGAGCATCGTTTATGGAAGTGCAGCTAAGTAGTAAATGCATAAAAGTAATGATGTTGGTCAGGACTAAGGAGAAGGGAAAGAGTTCTGAGGAGGGAAAAGCAAGCAGACATCCAAGCTACCAATGTTGTTCCCTTTCTATCGATCAGTGTGATGATGAAGCAGGTATTTTTGCTAAGCTTCACATTTATGCTTTATGCATGTTTTAATGTTTGTTACTTCTCATAATAGTACAGTGTGCTCACACAGAAATATGTTCACTCTATACTGCTGAAAAAAGCAAACTAAACGACAGAATATATGAGTCAATTAAAAAAAATTGTGTATATATGTATATTTATTCATATGTATAATTTATATGTCTAGAAAACTTAAGACAGAAAAGGAGGGGTTTCTTTTTTATCTTACACATTTCTGCACTTTAAATTTTTCATAATGGACACTTGCTACTTTACTATTAATTCTTCAAAAGTAATGAAGAAAGAATTTACAACATGAGCATTTTCTGAAATAGTTAACAGTCATATCACCACCATAGTCAAGGTAGAACCAGCATAACATTTTATAGTAACTGTTTTTCTTACCTAGTACTTAAAGGTGAATGTTTAAAAAAAAAGCAAAAATTAGCTTGAGTATTATTTAGCTTGCATGGGATCTTCTGAAAATAAAAATTCTCCAAAGAGGAAATTTTTGAAGGTTTCTGATACTCACCAACCAGTTGCACTCTCCCTGAAGACAAAAGCACTGGATCGTCCTTTTTGACATTATTTATTGAGTCATCTACTAGCTCTTTAATGTGGTCAATTCCTATGACTTTTCCACTAGAGCCAACCTGGAAATAAGGGAATAATTCAATAGCTCACTGGCCTAAATTTGTCTTTCTGAAGTGTCATTAAAGTGTTTCCTCACCTAAAGTCATATTTTGCAATGTAAAATGAAGACAAACAGCTCAAGCCTCCAATTAGATTGTTATTCAGTTTACTATAAAATATTTACCAAATACAACTTTTTCAGCTATAACCCTCAAATGGATAATTACGTTTCAGGAATTAAGAAGCTAGAATTACAAAAACTTGCAATACTAAAAAAAAAATCCTTTTTCTTCAATTTCTAATTTTTAAACCCCAAACCCTGAAATAAGACTTAACTGCTTAACTAATAATTAACTAATATTAAATGCTTAATATTAATATTAAATACTTAATAATAAAAAATGTTTAATAAATTAATATTAAATACTTAAACTGCACTTAATATTAAATGGTAGTTGGTGCAATCATTTTTAATTTAAATTCCACCTAGAAGTGTGACTTTAAACATTAAAATGTTACATAAAAAATTCTATAGGGATTTCTACACCCGATTCTACTGCCATATGCGGAAAATATAAAATACATAAAAGTATAAAAAGGCCCAAGTATAAATATTAATTGTAAAATAAATATTAGCAAAAAATAAATCTTTAGCAAAATAAAGACTCTGAAGTCAGACAACCTGGGTTCACATCTAACCTTCATCACTTACTTACAACTGTACAACCTTGGCAAGTTATTCTATGAATTGGGTTCCTCAACTGTAAAATGATGAGGAAAAGGGTACGTACCTCATAAATGATGTGAGAATTAAATAAAAGAATACACAAAAAACACTTAGAACACTGACTAGCACATGGTAAGTATGTGAAGGACATTAAATTAACACTACTTTTAAAAAGATAATTCAGAAATCTAATAATTTTTAATAAGTGTATTTTTCTCTAAAACCATAAATATGTCAAATATCAAGAACATGTTATTAAGTAAATACTGTGTCTAAACTTAAAAAAAAAAATCCTAGGGTGTGTGGGTGGCTCAGTTGGTTAAGTGTCTGCCTTTGGCTCAGGTCATGATCCCAGGGTCCAGGGTCTTCCTCTCTCTGCCCCTCCCCCTGCTCATGCTCGCTCTCTCTCTCTATCTCGTGTTCTTTCTTTCTAGCGCACGCTTCTCTCTCAAATAAATAAAATCTTAAAAAAAAAAAATCCTGACATTCCATTAGGGAGGGCTTAACTTCTACAAAACAAGTAAAACAACTGAAAAGAAATACCTGAGTCCTTATTATTTAACAAGCACTGTTGTGGATGCTTAGGATACATCAAAGGAAAAAAAAAATTAAATAAAATTCCCGCCTCCCTGGAGCTTACATGCTAGTGGTCTGCCACTTACATATATACAGCAAGTTAAATGGATTCTAGTCCAAGATGCATCATCCATGAATCCTAACCTAACTAGACCAGAACCTTCCTATCTGGCCCTCAGGGACAAGATTTTTCATAATAATCAAATTGATTTGATTATCTGAGCACAGATAAACCTTTACTCAAAGTGCCTGAGTAGGCCTCCAGCCAGATTCTGGACAGTCACGAACCAAGATAAGCCTCTGGTGATAAAACCTGAAGTGTAATAAACAAGGCATTTTTCTAAGAGTACTTTTCTTAATATAAAAATTATATTATATATATATAATATATATATATATATATTATATATTTCTAATAACCCTGGAGGAGTGTTTGGAAATCAGATTCTCTATATCATTTTCTGCCAACTCCGAATTTGAAAGAATGCAGTCTGGAAGCTACTGGTTGCCATCTTGCGATCACAAAGGAAGAGCCTGACTAAAGCCAACATTTGGAGGAAAGCAAAACAAAACCACAAACCAAAGAGAAACCCACTGTCAATAACAACGTCTGATCTTCTTTTGAATCCAGCCACACAAAAAGCCAGATATACTTTAGACTCTTCCATTATATAAACCAAATAAATTCCCTTTTACTCTGCCAATTTGGACCGAATCTTCTGTTATTTGCAACAACAAAAAAACCTAAGTGATACATATTCCAACTGCTATATTAGAATTAAAAAAAAAAAAAAAACTCAAAAACTGCTAGTAAAAAAACATACAGCCAAATATATAATATGCTGCTGCTGGAACGGAATGAAAAAGAAAGCTCTTACCATACGTGCAAAACATGCAGTAAGGATTCCACTTCCAGATCCTACGTCGAGAGCTTTAGCTCCTTCATGCAATTGATCAAATAGAAGTTCTAGTGCATATGCATGCTGCCAAAAGAAAACAAAGCAAATATTCATTTTTTTTCAAGACTCTATAAAGTACATATACCCTGGCATACAAATAAAGTTGCCAACTTCCTACCAATTTTTCTACAATTGTCATCTACCAAGATAATGAAAACACAACATATTATATACTTACATTTACAGAATTATGTAAGAAAATTTTTAGACTAAATTCTTACATTTATATAAAATGTTTTAGTAATTTTAGATCCCCAGTGTGTGAATTTTTTAATTTTAATTAATTCAAAGTCAAAAGCTACAAAAGGATGTACAGTGAAGTCTCCACCCCACCCCTGTCCGTAACCTTCCACATCCCCAACCAATTTCACTCCCTAAAGGCAATCTATGTTGTCAGTTTCTTGTGATTCTTTTCAAACATACCCATTCTATGCATATAGAAGCAAATACGTATCTATTTTTTCATTTATTATATCTTGAAGAACCTTTCTTTTTTTTTTAAGATTTTTTTTTTAACAGAGAGAGACACAGCGAGAGAGGGAACGCAAGCAGGGGGAGTGGGAGAG